ATATATATATATATAATATTATACCTATATAAGGAACCCCCGAAATATTGGCGTGTGTATATATATATATATATTGTAACTCTACATGGAACCCCCCCAAAATAGTATAGCCATTAAATCAACCCAAGACCTGGCGAGGCGACAGCGAAGCATCTTGGTGAGCGACTCGCCAAAGATTGAGCTTGGCAGAGTAGCTGCGTGTGCGGCGGAAGCTGACTTTGCACTTTGCACTTCTTTCGTGAAAGGCTTCTATAAGGGTGTCTCTCTCTCTCTCTATATATATATAGCATACTTACCCACACATGTGTATATATATATATGTGTATGTATATATATATATATATTTATTTATTTATTTATATGTTTATTGATTTTTATCTATATGCACATATAGTGATATAGGCGGAACTCGGCCTCCCTTCTACAGGGGAACAATGTGCTACTTGTAGGTCCAAAACCGTTACACGCTACCCTCGAACGCTTATTAAGCTTGTGTATCCTTGGTTGCCTCGTGCCAGCCGTGAGAGTCGAAACATAATATACGTGTATGAACGAGACAGGGGCCGGCGAGACACCGCCTTGGGCCTCACAAGTGACTGTCCTGGGTCATGTAAGGCAAGCGTTACTGTGCACAAGTCTTCGTCCGAGTCGGCTGGGTTTGCGGACGTGGTTTCACGCGTCCTGTCTGCTTGCTGTCGTCATCTTGCTCATTCATTGCTTTCGGGGCGTCCTAGGTCGAAATACGCCAGTGGTTTCACCTGTGAATGCACGGCAGCGAGTGCAAGCCCAAAGTGCAGAGGTTGAAGGCGAAGCTCTGCAAGCTCAAGCGCGACATCCTGGAACCTTCCGGTGGCGGCGGTGGCAAAGCAGCCGGGTTCGAGGCGCGTGCCAGGACCGGAGAAGGAAGCAGACGAATGGCAGCTCACCGCTGGAGTTCACTGCCAGGTGCAAAGAATCGGAGATGCCCGGGTGGGCCTCGTGGGCTTTCCATCTGTGGGGAAATCCTCCCTGCTCACTGCTCTGACCGGTGTCCAGCCACGGGCTGATTCGATCCGTGACATGAACACGTACAGGTGCCGTGTGCAGTCATGCTGACGGGTGAATAATGAATACAGTCGTCAAGTATTGCCTATGTACTTCCTGTAGGGTTTCCGTGTTTTGCGTAGCTCAGTGGAATGCTGCACGTGCATGGCTGCGTACCAGTAGCGCAAATCCAGTGGAGCCCGGAAGCAAGAAACGATGTTTTCTTCTGAGCTTATGGTATGTTCTTGGTCTACCGTCGTTGCAGCCGTAGGTGTAGCAAAAGGAGCAGGAAGAAAGACTGCACAGTCAAGTCATTGACTAGGGCTAGATGCAGGCGTCTTTTGCGTGTGCATGGTAAGCTCACGGGACGTCACGGCTTAAGTGCTGCGATTTCATGACAAGGTCCGAGGCTGCCGCGTACGAGCTGGAACCCTTGAAGCTTCAGACGCTCAATGAGCTTCTAGTGTGCCCGTTGCCTTGGAACTCAAGGTTCACGACCCTGACTTGCATCCCGGGCGTGATCTACTACAACGACGACAGAAGCTCAGCTTCCATCCCTCCGTCAGACAGGGCCATTTCCTGCTCCGAAAAGGTCAGAATCCAGCTCCTCGACCTTCCGGGCCTTATCGTGGGCTCGGCCCTGAGCTTCTCGTGGAGGGCTTCCGCTTGAGCCCTGCAAGACGTGGAGCAGGTGCGTCCATCGGCAAAGGCCGGGGACGGCAGGTAATTGCACCCCGGACAGCAAGCCTTTCCGTGTTCTCTTGTTGCAGAAGGCGGCTTTTTGTGAAATTGCCAGCGCCATGAGGCGACGGCAAAGTCATGCGATATCATCCTCATGGCAGCCCCGACGAGATTGATGCTAAGTTAGCTTGCAAACGAAGTACACGACGGAAGATGCTTAGACCAGGTTCTAGATGCCACGAAGGATGACGCACAAAAGGAGATGCTTACGAAGGACCTTTTGCAGCGGTTCACTGCAGATGCGGAAGCCTAGGCTTCACTTGCCCGGAGGAGTTGGAAAATGTTGGGATTCGGTTAAACAGAAAGCCCCCCGACGTGACCGTCAGACCGACCAAAGGAGGAGGCGTTTGGGTGTTAGCTTTCATGGTGGGCGATGTTTCAGGTGCTGCTCGCTCGACTCCAGTCGTTTTCGCAGATACTCTTGATCTGCTGCAGGTCTGAAATTTCAAGCGACAGTGCCGCTGACCCATTTCGACGAAGAGGTTTGCGCTACCATTTTGAGACAGAATCCTGTCAGAACAGTAGTTACAGAACAGACTTGGCTCTTAGTTAGTCTTAGTTTCAAGTAGTTTCAAGTCTTGATCAAGAGCTGAGATCAGGTACAAGATGCACAATGCGGATGTTTTGGTGCGAGAGGCCAGCAGCTTTACAGGTGCCGTCGAGACTTTTCTTTTCGCCTGACTCGTATCAGCAACAGGACATCACAGAGGATGACTTTATAGATGTCATCGACGGGAACCGCAAGTATTGCAAGTGCAGCCAAGATGCATACCAGACAGGTATGGGTGCGTGAGAGTTTGTCTATTGCCGTGAGACATGAGGTATCTACGTGTACAACAAGCCGCTCGGATGCCTCGGATTCGGCATTGCCGCTCAATGGTTGTGCATGAGAGGGTTTACAGCACATAGACGGTCAAAGCCCGTGCGCACCAGACTGCATCGATAGTATGCGAGCAAGATCTCATGCATCAAAGATGGTTGGCACAGACGTTGGCTCCTGTGTTCCGTTCACTAACCGGGCGTGCCGGATATCCCTGCTGCAGCACAAGATCAAAGACTATCAGGGTAGGCGACATTCGGACATCGCGCTTCCGTCTAATGCCCATTGCGACACTTTGGCACCATCATGCTTTTCCTGGCTCCCAGTGCCGACCGGCTTCAACTCCAGCCGCAAGCCGTTCTTTACTGTCGCCACTGCGCTCCGTCCCTGCGGGGAAGCCAACTTCAAGCTTCGGCGCAGTCAAAGTAGAAATGGAAGCTTCAAGCTGTGCCCAGGATAGACATGCTGCCGCTGGCAGAAGTGGACGAGCTAGCAAGGAGGCCAAGCTCCGTGGTAGTTTCTGCAACTTGGTCGCCCGAAGTCGGCCAACCATACTCGTAGAGTGAGATCAGTCGTGCAACGCGAACCTGCATGTGTTCTGATTGGAGTCGCACTTTACAGGATTCATAAGGCAACCAAGCATAAACTTTGGGTGGCAGGTCCTGACGTTTTTAGTTTACTTAAAGAGGGGATTATGGGATGTCCCAACCTTGCGGTTTTCGTTGGGTGTTTTTGTGGGTCCTTGTCACACTGGTTGAGGCCTCAGGTTGATCTGCGTTCCTGGAGATAGTGTTTGAAATTCATCCCGGTCAGATACTACATTTCAGGCATGCATGTGGGCGAGCTGTCTGTAAGGGCAGGGGAAAGCCCACCTCACATTCAGCCTTTGAGGCAGAGACCAATAGTGACAGGAAGGTGCGCAGGTCCAGCGTTGGATGCAAGACCGATACAGGCAGATTAAAGTGTAAAGAAAGGCTATGCAGAAGCCGTTCTAAGGTACGCAACAAGTGGAATTACGTGCCCTGGTTCGATTCAACTTGAAGCGGATCCAAGCTGATGCAGCATGTCGGTCGCACGACTCATGCACTGCCTTGTTAAGCCGCCACATCATGTCAGTTTCGAGGCATAGTTCGCTCGGGTGTCTAGCAGTGTTATGGTTGTCGGTTGAGACTTTCGATTGCCGCATGTTTGTCATGCTTGGTGGTAAAGTGCTTGATCATACTGCGCTCGCAGGTTGTAGGAAGACACGGCCACACGAGTCTGAGGATTACTTGATGAAACGACTTTGGGACGAGATGGAGATTATCAGGTGGTTTGGAGCAGAGGGGGCAGTTCTCGGAGCGCGTAGTGTGAAAGCAGAGGCTTTCGCCTTTGTCATCCGCTGGAGATTCCGTGCTTCGTGTCCCTCAGGGTCTACACCAAAAAGAAGGGGGAGTTTCCAGACTTTTCCGTGCCCTTGGCATGTGCACTCATCGTTTATTGCTTGCAGCATCAGCAGTAAAATAGACCACTTGCGCTGGACGATCAGCTGAAGGACCCCCTCATCATCACACCGCAGCGCGGAAACAAGCAGTTCAATGTTGAAAATGCCGTGCAGCTTCTGCACAGCGCCTTGTCCGGAAGCTTTTTGTGTTCGAAACGGTGCTCGCTCGTCTGCTTCTTGCGGCTTGCCCGGGCAACTCAGAATCACTGCTGGACGACTTCAAGCATGCCTTGATTTGGGGTAGCAGCGTCAAGCAATCCCCGCAGGCAAGTCCGGGACGCTCAAGAGTCGACCGTTAAGTCGAAGCTCTAGATTTGAAGCTGCATCTTGAGCCAAAAGCCGCTTCAGCTCGAGGCCTGTGGCAAAGACCACATAGTGCACGACGAGGACGTTCTTCAGATTGTCAAGTTGACACAGGCAAGGCCTGCATTAGCACGTGTACTGTTGTTGGCGGCACTTGTGATGGGACCAGCTGCATCCATCTTTAGGGCCATGGATGAGCTTTTACTTTTCAGCTGCCACTGCGACACAGTATGAAGCTTGGAGTGGAAGACAAGCGGAGCTGCTGCGAGTGTGCATGCGGTCGCCAGTCAGCAGTGTGTACTGTAGTGCCATTGCATCTGTCAGGCAGAAAAAGCAAAAGCTGCGCATGGAAAGAAAACAGGACCCGTTCAGTTCCTGCAGATGTTTTCCTGAGATGACTGGCGCAACCAAAACTCGTCCGGAAAAGCTGCATTGTGGGAGGAACGACTATCGCAGGGTCGAACATCAAGGCCCAACTGTCATCGTGGTCGCTGTCCCAAAAGATCGCTCAGATGTCATCCGTGCAGGTCGACCCCAAGAAGAAGGACGAAAAGTCTGCGCCGAAAAGCTGACCATGCTAGAAATCTGCGAGAAATTTCAATCCAGTCGTCCGCCCTGCTGGTGCCACACTTATGCTTGTAAGAGACCTTTGAAAGTGGCCCAGCCGCAAAGTTGCGGCATCTTGTGCCAGTGCATTAAGGCCGGTTTAGTAGCTAGGCTCTTTTGAAGATGGGTTTATTGGTGGACGGGCCCAAGCAAGAATCAGTGCATACGCATCTGAAGCTTGCGGTCCGTTGACTATTCGATCGTGGCGGCCAAAAAAGCACTGGACATGTTCAACACATTTCAACACATGACATCTGGCATGTACACGGCCCAGGGAACTGCAAGAATGATGCGCGTGGAATCAGAAGCCCGTTTGCTTCGAGCATGAGATATGCTTCTAGAATTTCTAGGCTCCTGAAGCGCCGGACAGTGCTGATTGATCATGCCGGTCGAACGCAAAACTGGGAAGGGGCGCTTTGCATGCTGCATGAGATGGCCGGGGCTCGGCTGCTGGCAAACCTCATCACTTTCAATGCCAACATTACAGCGTGTGCCAGAAGTTCTCAGTGGCAGTCTTCGCTTGCGTTGCTACGGGAACTCCAAGAGAGAAAACTCGAGCCGGACTGCACGTCGTACAACTCGACAATCACGGCTTGCGAAAGGGGCTCAGCGATGCAGATGGCTTCTGAAGTTTTGGTTCAGATGTATGACGCAGGTGTCCAGCCAGATCTGTACACGTACAATGCTAGCTTAAGCGGGCATGGGAGGGATGCAAAGTGGGAGCTTGCCACGCAGCTCCTGGTTGCTATGGCAAGAAGACGCACTGAGCCGGATGTTGTAAGCTTTGGAGCTGCCCTCAGTGCATGTGAAAAGGCTTCGCAGTGGTTGGCCGCTGTGCAGCTCCTCGGGACTATGCGCTCCACAAGGCACTTGACAAGCTTGAACTAGAGCTGGCCAACGAAATTAGAGATAACATGTTATCTGTGCAGTTTGCGAGACATGCATGCCAGCCGCCCAGGCTAGATCCCAACGTCATCATCTACAGCACCTCCATTAGCGCTTGTGCGAAGTCCTCACAATGGCAGTGTGCACTTCACGTCCTCAAGCAGTTGCAGGTTGGAGCAGTCGCCACTGTAGCGATGTCTCTCATGAACAGCCCCGAACACCCTTAAGACCCTTGAGATACTCGTACTAGAAAAGACGCCGGGTTCGCGCGAGGCGCATTTTATGAGAGCCGATGTGGTGGCCTACTCCGCAGCTATCAGCGCATGCAAGAAGGGAGCTGCTTGGCAGTCAGCCTTGGAGCTCCTTCAGCACATGCCGCAGGGCGGCAGAAAAGTTTTAGGGGACATTAGGGGACATTAGTAATCAGTACCTCAAGTACTTATAAGTACTTGCCTGAGCTTCACATTGATGTACTTCACGGGAGAACAAGGAAGCAGAATGGCCCACAGCCCAACATCATTTCCTACACGGCCAGCATGAATGCTTGTGAGCTGCTTGGCTCCCGTTCAAACTTTAAAGCTTCTGGAGACATTCTGGGGAGTCGTCGACTGCATGCTAAGACGCGGCTCCTACTGGCCACTAACCCTGCAGCTTATGCAAGAAGTGAAAGGACGGAATGACGAAGATTCGTGATGTGACTGACGCCTTGTCAGACCAGTGCCACATGCCAAGTCCAGACGGTTATTGAAGGACGCTCCATGGAGCCGACAGCGGTCACGTACGGAGCCGCCATGACGGCTTGTAGCAGGGGCTCCCTGTGGCAGCAACTTCGTTGCACTCAATTTGCAGCTTGAAGTTCTTCTAAATGCAGAAACCCACAAAACAGGCAGGAAATCCATGCCAACCTGGTTGCAAGCCGAGGTACGCCTTGATGGTCTTGGGTGCTACTTGGCTGCACCGTTTTGTAGCTGTCGGCCGTGCATCTTGGGAGTGATCTTGGAGGAGATGCAGGTGGCCGCCGTCAGCCCGGACTCTTTGATTTTCAATGCATGTGTGGGAGCCTGCAGACGGGGATCCCAGGGGCACCTCGCGCTTCAGCTTGAGGCCAAAAAGCGGAGAGCCTTCTGTTGTTGTCAAGGTTCGGTGCAAATCTCGCATGAGTACCTAACTGTAACTGTAGTGACTGTAGTGTCCGAATCCATTTGAATCCGGTCCAGCTCAGACACACTCAATGATTCGCCCCCCAGGACCCTTTCTATTTCTCAGTCCCCCATGCTACCAGCATCTCTGCTCCCTACGCTCGGGCCACAGTCTAACTCAGCCGCCAGCACGAATGCATGAACGGAACCACCAGCAAGTCACTAGGCACAGATTCCACGTCTCGAGAAGTATAGTGATGGTCGGCTCGGCGTTGACGCCACCCGCACGCTTGACAAATGAGCTGCCAGCAACTTGCCTGCAGCTTCAGTTTTTTGCGCGAGTTTTCCCGACGACCGCCTTCTTGCCGCAGTCTCCGTCGCCCAAAAAAAACATAGCTCAGTCACTTCGCCAAGATGACGGTTGCAGACCGCCGCCTGTGCGGCAGGCGCTTCAAAGGCAGAGCCATCACCCAGCCACAAAAAAACCTTCGAAGAACGAGACTGCGATCGCCGACATGGACTGAATTCACGACCTGTTTTGATGGCTGCTTCCCTGTGCTGGGCCGTTTTGCGCCGCGCGCGCCACGTGCACAACCCAAGAGGCAAGAGGCCCACACAGCTGGTGGGGCACGTGCACCTTCAATGGCGAGGGCGATAATGGAGACGCGATTGGATCGGCCAAGAGCCTATGGCGTTTTGCTTTGACTTGAACGGAATTTCGGAGGTTGACGGAGCTTCGCATTTGCCTTGAGCTGGCTTCCTGCTGGTTTGTGTGCAGATCTGTCTCCTCGACCTGCCCCTCCCCTCAGCGAAGCAGAGCATCCCCGAACAAAAAGGCTGAGCATGGCATGCTTGCAAGAGGCCCACTTGGTTTCCTTTGATCGTGGACGATTTGCCATGCTCGACCCAGGTATTTCAGCTTGCAGCAAAGCGACTCGGCACAAGCCACGAGCACCCGTTGCAGAGTGTTCCACCATGTTCTAAGCACTTCCCAATCTTTCGGGTAATTTTGCTTCTTGTCCCCCGAGGAGTGTTCGGCCACCGTTGCCCAGCACGATGCGAACTTCCATGGAGGTGCGGGCAGCCACCGCGAAGGGGCCTCGAGGCGCCAAAGAAGTTTGGTAACTCGTGAACCCGTGAATGCTCGCCTCATCGGGCAGGTGTTGCTGTGAAAGATTCCCGAGGCGTGGTGTGACCCTGTCTAACGGTGTGGGGACTCATGCCCTTGGCATCCGCCAGTCAGAAGCTGTGCTCTCTGTGGTGCATCGTTTGCCAGGCATGTCAGGAACGCTTATGCTAGTGTTGACCTTCATTGCCTCAGCTGTGGCCAATCGTGTGGCAAATCGCGTACTTTTGGTGCCGCCCCGAGTCTTTGCTGTCCAAGAACGAAGGCAGAAAAGTGAAACGACAAGGTTCCGATGGCCGGTCATACCCTCTTCCTCTCTCTTGCAACAAGCACTGCGCAGCTCCCGCCCTGGTTCTGCGCGAAAGGAGAAGGGAAGAACCGGCAGTTCTAATCTTGCATTCGAGGCTGACCGCCTACTTGCTGCTTCTCGCTTGGCGGGCGTGGAAGCAACTCGCAATAAGCGCCCTTCTGAGCTATTCGCCGTCGGGTGGGGCGGCCCTTCAGTACCACGAAGCTTTGCTCTTTCCGTCGCTTCGGGGTTAAACAAAGCATTCCGAAACATCACACAGCGAGCAAGGTGACATGTGCCAGTTCGTGGCAGCACACTGGAAGCTGCTGCTGCTGGTGGGTACATGTGCTGAGCTAAGCTAAAAGTCCCCGTGTATTTAATCTAGTTCTACTGAAACCAGAAGTCCACCGGCTTCCGCAACGGTCATGCAGGCGAGGGGGCCTTTTATCCCCTGGTTTTTGCAGCAGCAGCGAAACTACCTGGAGGACTGGTGCAGGCCTGGGTTGAGCCGCAGGAAGCCATTTCTGCTCGGTTTCCGACATGGTTTTCAGTGTTAAATTTTCCTACCCCTTCTTCGCCATTTATCGTCACAACTGTTTGTACGTGTCAATTGTGGCATGTTCGACTGTATGTGTTATTCCGCAGACCGCGTTTGCACGAAGCGCTCTTGCGCTTGGCCGTGGGAAAGCCCAATGTAGTGTCGTTCCCTCCAGCCCATACAGTATGTGAAGGCGGCACATCAGCGAAGGGTAGCATGCATGTCAAGCTGAGATGCCCCAAGGCTCGAAACCCGGCTCATATCCCGCGCGTGTCTCGCCGTTTCGAGCATTTCCCGAAAACTCATCACTCATGGACGTCCGGGTTCCCGTCACAGCCACATCCCTGGCGGCCATGCTCTTTGCAAAGCGCTCTCACTAGGCGCTCACCCGTCCCTACTTCTTGGTAGGATGGGTTCTAACTTGTCTTGCAGATGACCCCGGGCTCTTCTGCCGTTTGGGCCGACGGTCTACATGACGGCCATAGGATGATTATGCCCGCTGCTGCAATTGTCAGTCTGCATGGCTGCGAGAGTGCGCTTGCCATGCTTTTGTTTCATGCTTGATGCGTATTCCTTGAACTTGAAGATCCAGAATCGAGAAAGCGGAGACCTCGAGTGGAAGCCTTTGTAGCTGGTGACAGTTTGGAGACCTGCTATGTAGTGCCTTCGGATGCTACCACACAGGAGCCCAAAAAAGAATCAAGAAAGACAAACTACAGAATCTAGAGTTATAAGGTGCATACAGTTTTCTTATGTGAGTCAACCCATGATACTTCATGAACATGGTTATGCTTCAAGTGGCCTGATTTCGCGGTTATCCCTGACAGGAAATCCGATCATGAGGTTCAGGGTTGTGAATATGCGAACGCTTTCGCACAGTCAGGGTTCAAGCAATTGAGCGCTCTATGCCTAGAGTCTGCGTTTTGCGAGGATTTGTGACATACTGGCACTAGCACTCATGTCGACGCAAGCTTGCTCAGCAGTTTCGCTGCTCAGGTTCATCTGCATGAAAGGGACAGAAGCTGGCAAGTCTGCGAAGAAGCACGAGCACCAATTTGTTCGACCGTTACAACGCATAGTGTACTAATGCTAAGAGCTGCTGTGACTGCTGGAGAGTCCTGGGGCTAGGCATAGTGCAGACCTTGAGCGCAGATTGTGTATACATATATATATATATAATATATAATATATATATATATATAGCCATGTGTTGCCGGGATTCGCTGCTGCAAACAGGGTCTGGGCGAGTTTGCCATTTCACACAGCCTCGGAGTTCGTGTGTCAGATGTTCACATGGACATGTGCGACATAATCTGTATCAAACCGAGCAGGTTCTCAACCAGTCTGTCGTGCCCTACACGGTGGCCTTCAGCGTGTTTCCGGCGAGCTTCAGTCGGATACATCTTGCAACTGCTGCAATGTCGCGTAGTGGGACATGCTTTTCAGCAGTCCATGCACGTTGTATCAAAGCGGTTAGTCTGCCCCAGCTCCCATGGCGAGGTGTTTCTGCTTGGCCGCCGCTACACCCCTGTTCAGCTGGTCGGGGTCCGCACTTCAGCTGTCCCACTGTGTCGGACCTCTCTGATTAGGTTGATGATTGTCGATGTTCCATTAATTTCAGATCCGCTGGTGCTCATCCGTGTTGAGCGGTCTGCCATCAAAGAGCATAGCTTGCCCTGGGGCAAGGGATATTTTGTTTCGCGCACTTCACAGTTGGCCGTCGGCCGTCGAAGGTCGCAACAGTTCTTCTTGGCGTTCTGGTGGCAGTCGGCCTACCTGCAGGCTCCTGTCAGATAGCCTTCATTTGTTGTTGCTCATACCGCTCGCCACTTGCAGCGAGAAGACAGTGTTTGATAGCCTGCTTTTTGCACAGCGACCCTTGGGTATGGGCTTCAAACCGGTGGTTCAGGGTTTAGGGTCTGATTGATTATGGCACGAAGCAGCCTGAAGCTCCGAGTTCTGCGTTCCCCTCAATGCCATTGCCAGCCGATACGTGCGATGCTTCAGCTCAATACGCTGCAATCCTGAAAGACATTTAGCCGATTTCGGAAATGGCTCGTCCCTGCAAAGCAGGGATCTGGTTCAATCAATGCCCAGGAAGCCGTGGAGCCATTGAGCAAATGGCCTGACATGAGATATCAATGCGGTTTAGTAGTGCGGAAAACGTCCTATGTTACAGGTGGGGTCGAACCAATGCTTTAAAGCTGTGTTTGTTTTACGGTCTGCGGGGAGTATGGGCTTCACACAGTTCCTTGATATACGGCAGGGGGGAGCCTACTGCTCGAAGGCCTCAGTTGGCTCAATGGCGTTGTCTGCTACTGTGTAGGTTTATGTAGGTCATTTTAGGTACAGGAGTCAAGCCTGTTAAGCCTCTGCCTCAGTAGCGTAATGTTGCAGTGTCTTGATTCCTCAATCATTGAACAGCTTCACCGGGTACTGGTCCGAATCTATCCTGATGAATGATATGCCGCTTACAGGTTGCATGGTCTGGCCCATGCGTCAGGGTACAGCATACAGTTTATGTCCCAGTCAGGATCCCTTTGGAGCCACCAGGTAGTAATGCATGCCGAAGACTTAGCTGACTCTTGGACGAGCTGCATAGCCCTTTGGAAAATGAATATCCTTGCATGTGCAAGGATGTGCTGCAGTGCGCGGGCGCGGCGCTCAGATGCGAAACGTCCAGTCAGCTTTTGGACGAACTGAATCTGGAGGAGCCTATGCGTTGCTCGCCTTGGCCGTGACTTTGAAGGACAATCAGCTGCGGCTTTGACGGGGGTCCTGAGAGGAGTGCACTTTCCCCGATCTGTAAGATGTGACCTCGCTGATAGCAAACCGCAGATAGCAGGACCGGATCTTTCGCAATGCACGGGAGACGGCAACAACAGCAGTGGAGGCGCGACGGACGGACTGTCCTAGGACTTCACTACATGCAGGCCCCACTGCTGTCCAACACAGCTCGAATGCAATACAATCTTTCCGAACTGTGTGGCAGGATACAAATCGTGACGTTCTTGTAGAGAAAATTTGGATAATCATGCACAGCAGCAGATTGTGCGAACGTCGCTTGACAAATCTTGGCAATATGGGGCTTAGTGTCTGACTCTTAGTTCCGGAAGCATGATTTGGCCCGCACGTTGTTCATTCTGCATCAATCTGCTGTTTATGTTCCGTGTTTTCTAGCGTGGGACAAGCAGTAGATTCCATAGATTCCTTAACTTAAAACAACTCGCCTGTGGGCTGAGTCGGGCTGAGTAGACGGCATGTGTCCATGTTTGCAGCTTCTGGCTCGACATGTGCGCAGTAGGTCCTGGAACCAGGATGCGAAACAACCCACTTGACCGCAGACTGTTGCTTTAAGGACCACTACTAGTGGACTCCGCGTGACTCGAACTCTACCGGAAACATGCGTTCCAACATGTACTTTGCTGACCACGCCACCTATTATCCCCTCGGTCTGCAGCTTGCGGCCTTAGCTTTTCAGTGAGGTTGTATCTTGTTTACATGGCCTGTGAGTCTTCGCCATGCGCATTCTTACGCTTTGCTGGCTGAGCACCTGTCTGCTGTCGACTGACGGCACGGAGCTCCTTGTGCGGATTAAGAGGGCAGATCCGGGGGGACCCTGAGCACGGGGTTAGATCGCGAATGAGGGCGCGTGAAGCTTGGGTACCAGACTCATGTTGCATGCAAGGCCTCTGTACGCAAGCCATGTCGGAAGCTCTCGCTTCCGAGTTCTGAGCAGTACCACCGTCCCGCGCGCTATCAGACGATTTGTGTTCCGAGAGAAGATGGAAAGGTGTTTCAGAGTCCTTTTCGCATCGAGCGCGAGCGGCAGTGTGCAGAAGCGCCCAGCTCGCAACATCCCCTGCCAGAAACCTTGGTTCTGAGATCGATCTAACCAGCTCTCTTCTGTTCCTGGGCCTTCTCGTCACTGTGACACTGATATCCTGCACGTCTCGTTGGAACCATAAGGAGCCCTCGAAAGCAGGGCGCTCTCGGGCCGGGGTCCGAAGCACTGGAACGTGAGGAAGCCGAAAGGTTATTGCAGAAGTGTCTCGGCTGAGCTGTGGAAAGGCGAGTGCCGTTCTTCGCAGAAGCCACCCAGCGGTTTCTGATTGTACCCACATGTAAACGTCTGCCTATGCAACCCAGGTACAAGCTGACCTTCAGTGAGGAGTCTTAGCCTTGCAGGCAATAGAAACCTCTCGCTTACCTGAACACTTCAGACAGAAGCTTGCCCAAACTGTAAAGCTCTCACCCCCGACTGTTTTGCTTTGACATGGCCGACGCGAGGATGGCGATGCGCTGCGACGGCGGGGCCAAGATCTTGCCTGCTCCGCGTGCCCACGACCAAGACGGGGCTATCGTCTACTGCCAAGTGCAGGAAGGCTTTAGCATGTTACATCATTTCAGTTGACGTAAGTGTGAAGGTCACGAGGCTACAGTATGAGTGTCGGTACAGATCAAGGCCAGCTGGCTGCAAAGCGTGACTTGGACGGCAACTGCAGTGGTCCTTTACAGGCGCGGCATTGGATGTCTTTCGAGTGACGAAGACTAAGGCTTCCAGAGCAAAGTTGCAAGCAGAATCAAAGGCCGGCTGACTGGAGGGCTCTGGATCTTGGGTGCCTTTGTCACTACACGGCCTGAGGGCAGAGGTTGACTGCAGCAGTCTTTCTCGCAGACATGGTACTTTTGGAGTAAAGCTCCCCGGGCATAGGAGGCTGCCCAACGCAGCGATGTCTATGCACTATTCCGACGGTCGCGGCCTCCTGCTGTGAGTGGATGCTACTGTACCCTGCGTACTTCCTGTGTCTTCATGCATGGACCAGCTCCCAAGGCCCAGGGTCACAGATTCGTCGTGCTTCTCTAACCAGTCAGAGTAGCGTCGGTGCACAGAGCCGCTCAGGGAAAATGCCTGATGCAGAGAAGAAGACCGTCTTCCAACGCGGGCTAAGCACGGCCTGTGAAGAAGCGCAGTTCCCTCAGCAGCTGGCCGTTGTGCCTCGACTTGTCAGGAACGGAGGCTTTGCTTTCACAGCCCACACAGTAGGATGCTCTATGAACCTTTGATCGAAGCCATTAGGACACTTTGCCCAAGTCCAGGTTGCGCGAGTTGTGAAAGTCGAAGTTCAGGTTTAAGCGCATGTGTGTGCTGCGTGATTTCTATGTACTCGTCTGTCTGTCTGTCTGTCTGTCTGTCTGTCTGTCTGTCTGTCTGTCCGTCTGTCTGTCTGTCTGTCTGTCTGTCTGTCTGTGTGCACGTGTGTATGCATGTCTGCTGGATGCCAGTACGCACGTATGCATGTCTGTAGGTGGGTGGCATTATGCAGAGTGAAGGCAGGTCTATGTCTGTTTGATAGTGATTTGCTTGTTTGCGTGTGCATGTTCGCATGGTTGTATGTAATTTGTACACATGTGTGTACATGAGCTTGCATGCATGCATGTATGCATGCATGTGTTGTTGTGTGTATGCATACATGAGCAAGCTTCATTCTTACAGGCATGTGCATGCATGCATGTATGCCCGTGCATACTGCATGTAATGTATGCATGTATGCATGTATGTGCGTGTGTGCGTGCACACATGTTGGTATGTTTGCAAGTGCGCGGGTACGTATGCATGCGTCCATGGATGAGTGTGGTATGCAGGTCTCTATGCGCAGGGGTGTAGGTGCGTGGGTGGGTGGGTGCGTGGGTACGTATGTATGCATGCATACACACATGCAAGTAAGCATGTTGGCCTGGTTGTTTGTCCCGCTGTCTTTCAGTCGTGTACTTGTTTGCTCGTGTGCACCTGTAAGCACAAATACAGACACACCTGCACACCTCCGTGTGCGTGCGTGCATGTGTGCGTTTGCATTGCACGCTGGTTGTCACAACCATTCAGATCGTAGTACAGTAACCGACTTTCCGAAGACCCATACATTTAATCAGGGGTTTGCCTCAAAGTGGACCAACACAGACTTCGCTGCAGGTAGAGAAGGAAGGCAAGCAGTTCTACGTGGACTTTCAAGAAGCCCTGGGCAGCGCGCACGGGAGGGTCAATGTGAAAGCCATGAGTCCTGAGATCAAGGCCGTGCCCCCGAGGGGATTCGGCTTGCCGGACCTGGTCCCGAGAGTGAGAGGCTAACGTCCCAACAAAGTGGTTAGCGTGATACCTTGTTGAAACCGTCGCAGCTATCCCATAATGTTCAACATGACACACGACACATCAACCTGTGGTTGCACAGGAGGTGGAGACAGTTGTCCGTGGAAGTCAGAACAGCAAGCACAGAGTCCGCTCCTGCAGCTGCTAGCAAGCTTTCAGAGAACGGAAGCGATGATGGCACAAGTTCAGGCCTGTACCCAAGATTGGTATGCTGTAATCTAATGCTACTAAGTATTTGCAAGTGCTGATAGCTCACACCTGATCAAACCCAAATCCGTCCGTACGTAGTCTCGTGGAACCTCCATCGGAACCACTTCTTCTAGGTAAATAGGCAAAACAGGTGCTTGTTTGACTTGGAAGTGGAGCTTTTGAAGCATGATTTTGTGCCCAGGGTAAGATGGCCAGGTTGTCGGACCTCTAAGCATTCTGCAATGCTGTTTTGTCGTTTCCTTCGTTCTGTCTTCAGGTCCCCATCCTTTGAGATTGAGAGTCCAACACTCCAGCTGCTCCGTTTTGCAAGTTCTTCCACGATCCTCTGCTTTTCATCGAGCAGGCTGATGTCATAAACGGATGCAGACATCTACTCCAAAAAGAATGGAAAGACAGCCTCTTGCAGAAGGCACGGGCTATCAAGATTATGTCTGCAAAATTTCGTGTGCCGACCGACGGGCTTTGCCGGCCAAGATCGACTAATGTCCAGGTTACCGGGAGGGGTGGAAACCAGGCAGCTTTTCGGTTGTTGAAGACATCTCTTTTGGGAAGGGTTCATGTCTTGTTCTGCTTTTGGGGTCGCAAGGTGCTTTCGACACCGAAAGGCGGTCGAGCCTCGGATGTCGATTTCGGGAAGCTGATCTGCGGACCGAAGATGTCCGCCGTCTCCTTGCCGCATCTCCTGTCAGCTGCGACTTTACAGCTGCCGCAAGTGTAGTTTGCCAGCGCGTTCTGTTGTGAAGACATCTGTTTCTCATGCCCAAGCCAGAGCTGAGAGTTGAGAGCTCGCCTGGTTGTAAGACATGCCAAACGAGCACAGACACGAATTGCGACAGGGTGCTTGACATCACATATGTCTCGAGATCGGATGCAGGGCTCGCGGACTCGAGAAGGGGCGCCAAGCATGGCGACTGTGAAAGGATTAAGTTTTCAAGTCTGAGAACAAATGCATCGCTTGTGACTTGGAAGTGTGGGAGGCCCCAGTGTGCAAAGAGGTTCTGCCAGCACTCCATCCCTCAAATCCAGCAGAAAGCCACAGGAGTCGGACGCTCACGAAGATTTTCGTTCGCATCGTCACATGAGAAGTCCTGTAAAATTGAACGGAGAAGCCTGTAAGCCCAACAACTGCGACAGGCACAGTTTTCTGTTTATGTACCCAGTACGAACACACGAGTGCCAGTCTGGATCGCTCACCGTTCTCAGTCTCTGATCGGAGCTGCGTGAAGTAGTACAAAGGTTTGCGACGAGGAGGAGAGCGACGGGGACCGTGAAGAGGATGAGCTCTGAAACCGCGGGGCCTGTCCGACACGGATCTCCGAGCACAGGCTCTGCAAGCACATCGGCAGACGCAGAGCGTTCGGCAGCAAAAGAGACTGTCCTTGACGGATGGCTGCGCTTGGAGAAAGATTTGCATCACGGCTCAGCACAGCTCCACGACCCATTTGCAATTCGTGCCCTGCCCCATGTAGTGTCAAGTCACGTGGTGCCACCATGCGGGAGCCAACATTTGCAACTCGCTGTGTCAGACTGTGTCAGACGAAACTTGAAAGCTTTTTTTGTCTGCGAGGAGCCGCAAATTCTTCTGGTTTCAGCTGTCGGAGCCGCCGTCCAGCTTCTGGCCGGGGGGCCTCAGAGTACTCCGTTTATGTTGAGGTTTTCTACACTATACTATACTATAATAGAGTCTACGATAATATATTGAACTATTATCGTGTATTGATATTATTTCTTATGTAATAATGTTACTTTTCGGCCCTCTTTTCGGGTCGGGAAAGACCGAGGTGCAACTGGTTGCGTTTCCTTTGGCCTTCCCGGGGCATGTACATCCAGACGTTCTCAGGGCCTGGGCCCCCAGCATGGTTCTTGTCAGACTAGTTGGGGTAGTCAGACTACCCATAGGACCCCATAGTAGGTCCTTTTTGTGGCTTATATTTAGAATCCTATTAGGTAATCCCAAAAAGGAACTACTATGGGGCCTACGGGTAGTGACTAGTTATTGTAAGGCGCACAATTTCAATAAGTTTGGAGGTTGAGCTTAGGCTTTGCTTGCGACCCAGTCGGGGCATGACGGCATCATTGTGTGCCGGCGGGCCTTTCCGCGGATGACGTGGCTTGCCATGTTGAAAGCCTCAACACAAAGACATAAGCTCTGGCAGATGATCCGCCAAGCAGCTAAAGTCAGCATTGTGCATGCATGCGAATTAACAGAGCATTTTGCCTGTTGTGATGCGCCTTATAGTTTGTCCGAAGACTCGACAGATGTAGCCCTCCGCTAATACAAGGGAGGTTTTGCCGACGTCCAATCCAAAAGGTCGCAGCCGCATCTTCAGACATTTCGCCGGTTTTTGAGCTGGGCTAAGGAAGGGCTAGATGAGTTGATGGGGCGGAAGCTGTCCTCCGTGCCGTGGCTAGGGACTCAACGATAAGTGTTCTTGGCATCTGACGGCACATGAGAGAGCATTTGCAGAGGATTGCCTTCACCTACTGGGTGCAGGAGCCTAAGACCTTCGATCCTCAGCGCTTGTGTGGCCCGAAGGTTGAGGGCAAGAGTTCGCAGCAACTCAGGTGCAACATCATTTTCAGTGTCTCGGCCCTGCGACTGGTCAGAAGGGCTTCGGCCTCGACGGTGGTCTTGGCGAACGCCGCTGCCTCAGACAGCTTCTGCGGATTTACATCTGTGAACGACGCCAGCAGCCAGCTACACTTACACGCCAGCGCATGCATGCAATAACATGCAGTATGTTGGGGCAGAGTCAGGTCGCAGCGCTTCCGCTGAGCGTGAGCCGGCTCAGCTTCCTGGGCTGACTGCTTTAAAAAGCTTTTGAACTCTATTTGGTTCATGTTTGTTCGAGGCCCTGGTTTTCTGCTGCCCGCTTCCTTTGCTGAAGCCGGGCTCCCTTTAATGCCAGGTTTGTCTGGAAGTGCAGGGCAGTTTTTCAGTCGCACCGGGACGCTGCCAGGCCACAGCAATTTCGCTGGACCTTTGCCATGAGCCTTCTGTTGGCGGCGAGCTCAGCACGGGCTTGGGGTTCGCGTGAGGGCAAGCGCTTGTGGAGAGTCATGCCGGGCTATTCTGACAAGGTCGCCGGAGGCAATCTGTTGTACGGACCGGATCCCAGCGGGGTCGTTCATGAAAATGCGCCTTATGCAGCCTTGCAGCATCACACAGGGAGTCCGCACTCAACTTTCCAAAGCGGCAGCGCCCCCGACGCTAAGGGCGCTCTTCGCCAAAGCCTCCCAGGACAAAGTAAACAGCACGCTGGTGTGAGCGGCCACCACAGGTCGCCATGTAGCTTAGCAGACTGAGTGCGTGAGCCTGGCAATGTGCCAGAATTGTTGTTGACTTTTGTCTAGTTTCGAAGCTTCTTGTCATCATTGTTGCCCACACAAGCTTAGACAGGGAGCAATCCATTCCCTCCTCGTGAACATATTCGAGGGAACTCAGTGGTACTCGTAGACACATTTCCGAGCCTCCGTGCACGACGGCGACGACGACAACAACTACTACCAGTGCTGCTGTTGGCTGTGTTTGTGGTTGTTGCGGTGTTTGTGGTTGTTGCGGTGCTTGCGGTTGGCTGTGGCTGTGGCTGTGGCTGCGGCTGCGGCTTCGGCTGCTGCTGTTGCTGTTGCTGTGTTTGTTTTGTGTTTGTGTTGTCGTTGTGTTGTTGCTGATGCTGTCGTCATCGTCGTGATGCTGCGAGCTGCCGATCGCCAGCTGCTTGCTTTCGTTGAGAGACCCATACAATGTCCTTTACGATTGTCGTCGTGAGTGTTAGGCAACGTGGCTCTCTCCTTCCAGCCGTTATTGATCTCTGTAAAACTAGAAAGATCTACAAAGTGTGGTTTGTATTGTAGTGAGGCTATCCGTTGGTTTGAATTCAGGTTGCTGGTTGGTTTACTTTCGTTGCTGGCGTTTTCGCTGCGTGCCAGACGTACACGCAACAAGCCGTGGACGTTTCCACTGATTTCTGATCTGATCTTTTACACAAATGTGGCAACTGCCCTGCGCGATTTTCGTTGATTTTCGCTCATGTTCATAGCTCCGCAAGAGGTACCGGCCTGCCCCTGGTCCGCGTATTACAGAGCTTAGACCAGCAGACTCCTAGGCTAACCCTGACAAGTCGATACTGGTTGTATCCGTCCGGTCCTTTTGAATCGCGGGCGGATTTACGGACCTCTGGGCCAACGGGACTTATGGTGTTCTTGCGGGTCTTGAGACGAGAGCCTCAGAGTGCAAAAGGCGGCAGAGCAGTGCTTCACCGTTCTTAAACTCACGGGCAGTGCTGCGCATGTGCTGTGCATGTTCCCCTTCGACCCGGCTCTGGCAGAGACAAGAGGAGAGCAACGGGTCGCCATGGCGGAGCTTTCCTTCCTTAGGATACTCAAATTCATGTTGGGACCACCAGGCGTTCGGTTCCCAGTTGCACCGGCAGTCACACAAAAGCAACTTCTGACTGCTCAGGTCCCAATAATCCTGGTGCTGATGTTTGACGCCATCCTGGCGATGATTGTGTTGACGGTTGTCCTGCTGCCCAAGCCCCAGCTCGTGCATACAAAGAGTAGCCCAGTTCCGGCCTGCTGTGCTGCGGCCTTGCCGGCACAAAGGATATTACCAAAGCGCGTGCTTTCCAAGTCGAAACTGGTTCGGACAGCTCGCAACAAGCTGCCTGGCTGTGAACTGATGCACATTAGTTGAGGTGGAGTAGATGAAAGTAGTTCTGTCAGAATACCTGGTGTTGCCTGACGAAGGTTGCTTCGGTTTCTCTCCAGGATGGTGGAGCGAGAGCCCTACCAAGATGCACAGTTGCCATGCCTGACCACAAAGTACTCGTAGCACCGAAATTTCTGCAGAAGCTCTAGGATTGTGTGACAAGGTTGTCGATGCAGGGACCGTCGGATGCTCATTAATGTTCATTGGGACGTGGGGGAGTATGATGCAGCAGCGCCGAACAACATCTGCACACCATCGAAGTTAGTTGTACTGCTCTGAGAGGCTCGCAGTGTGCCATGTGCGTGCTAACATCTCGGGAAGAAGGGGCTGCAGAGCCGAAGAGACGAGCAAAACGAAGGAGCAACAGAGGCATGAAGGCAGAGTTGAAGCCGCGAGCCATTTCCTTCCTGGCTAAGGGTTGCTCTTCTAGTTGTTTGGCTCGGACGCAAAGTCTTCCGAGGCAGCGCGGAACTGAGATAATCGAAGGGGCAGGGCACGGCCAAGGTAGAGCAACTGCAAGGTCTGTTGGCGTTATCCTGCACATGCACAGCGGAAGAGTTTGGGATTCTGTGATGCTTATAAGACTCATTGTTGAATACAACTCAATGTTGGAGATCATGTTCTCATGGCGTTTGGCTTAGCAGATGTCTCTGAGAACTGTTGTGCACGCTCAGCCCTACTTTAGTTTGTCTACTTGCAGGCTTTACCTCAACATGCTTTGTCTTGGTGTGTGTCATGACGATCGTTTGTAACGGGTGATTTATGTGTCTGTGTGAGGATGTTCGCATTGCGACCACCACCACCACGACGACTACCCGTACCAGTACCGCCACTATTACCACCACTACTTCTGCTGCTGCTGCTGCTGCTACTGCTACGGCTACTGCTACTGCTACTGCTACTACTACTACTACTACTACTACTACGACTGATACTGCTACCTAGTACTAGTACTAGTACTGGTACTGGTACTGGTACTGGTACTGGTACTAGTACTAGTACTAGTACCAGTAGTAGTAGTAGTAGTAGTAGTAGCAGTAGTAGCAGTAGCCGTAGCAGTAGTAGTAGTAGTAGTAGTAGTAGTAGTAGTAGTAGTAGTAGTAGTAGTAGTAGTAGTAGTAGCAGGAGTAGTGGTCGCAGCAGTGGTAGTAGTAGTAGTAATAGTAGTAGTAGTAGT